CCTTCTGGTCCAATAGATTGGACTGGATTGGACAAGGGTGGTCCAATGTCCAGGTCCAATGTCCAGGCCCAACACTGCCCTGAGCCACGTTTCTTACTTTTGTTTAAAAAATAGTTGATATTAACATTTGAAATTTTTCAATTTTATTGATACTGATACAATACTGCATTTGGTTTAATACTAATACAATATGTAACTCGAGATATCAAAAGTCATTTTCTGAAGGACTTAATTAGTCAGTATTATGTTCTTTCAGAAAAATAACTTTCGGAAATCGTACAATAACCCTGATACAATATTGCAATAGGTGCTAGTTTACTAATTTATAAAAAAATGTTATTGCTAAGTTGCTAAATAATCAATAAATTTACACACACTTACAAAACGAAATAATTATTTTTTTTCGAATTTTCATATATTAGTATAACTTACGGCAGGTATGATTATTTCAATTCAAAATTTTACAATATTTGGTAAAATCGGCGAAAATATATTTAATCATTAACAAAAAATTATTTACTAAAAAAAATTTGAAAGTGCTAAAACTCAAAAGAGAAAAAACATTAGTATTAAACAGCGAAAAGAATTATTTAAAAAATTTTTAAAAATAATTAATTCTAAATTTCGGCGCATTAGATGGCTACATGAAATTTTTAGCCAGTGATGTAACTAATTTTGTCAAATGGGAAGTTGGGAGAAATTAGTAAACCCACTTGGAATCTATCTGTTTCAATTCAGAATCAGGGTAGTCAAATTTAAGCAAGTTACTCAGATTAAGAATACGTAGAAAACTGTATAATCATAAAATCCAATCAGATTGATTGACGCAAAAATCCATATAGTTGCATAATAATATAATTGTATTAGAGATTATTATTCAATATGCAAAATTTATAACTTTGAACAATATCAACTTTTGCGTAAATTTTATTGATGGATCAACAAAAACAAAGCATGCTTTTATAACTTGCAATCATGTAATAAATTATTTGATTCACTATACTGTATTTCATTACGGCAGATTCTATTCAAGCGCAAAAATTTAAGACAAACCCAAAATTTTAGACTATTCATGTTTTTAATACTCCGTCATACTGTTAATAGTTGACTATAAGTATATACCCTAAAATAAGATATTTTGAGTGTGAACAGAATTTATCGTAATGATATGACATGATAAAAATAATATTTATATCAAAACTTTATTAATTTAAATTTATTTGAACAATATAATTACATTTCTAAGCATAGATAAGATATAAAAGTAATTCATAGCTTAATAGATATTGATTCAAAAAAAAGGTTAAATATTAATTATACTACATTTTAATAGCCAAAAAATAATAAATCATTATCATAATTTTAACTTTCACGTAATCGAACAACTTCGACATCGAATTTCTTACTTCTCAACGACGGGGTAATAAACTGTACAATCTGTAAATCCTCCCCTTCTTTAGGAAAAAAATCAAAATTTCCTACTAACGCGCTTATAATAATCCTTACTTCCATCAAAGCAAAATTATTTCCTATACATAATCTAGATCCACTACCAAAAGGATAATAAGCATCATTTCTTACTTTTGAATTTAAATTAAACCATCTTTCAGGTATAAACTCATCAACATCTTGACCCCAAATTTGTTTAGATCGATGAAGTTTCCATATTGATGCAGAAACTATGGTATCTTTGGGGATTAAATGATTGGAAATTATGGTATCCTCAGTGGTTTGTCGCATTATGCCACCTAGTGTTATTGGAAATAATCTCAATGTTTCATCTATTACGGCATTCAAATATTTGAGAGATTTTAAAGTTTCATGAGTTGGTAAAAATAGGTCATCCTCGTGTTCATATGATGTTACGCTATTTTGTAATTTAGGAAACGCAGATTTCAATTCTAATCTTAAATTTCTTAATTTTTCAGGATTATAGAGTAACATGATAATTGCCATAATGATGGTGAATGCACTTGTATCACTACCACCTATTAAGAATTCCATGATTTGATCTTGTATCTCAAAGGCACTCATTGTTTTACCGTCTGTTACATCCACAGGTGAAGTCGGAGAAGATTGCTTCAATGGATTATGGTTATTAAATAAAATTTGTAAAATATCTGTACGTTGTTTGGTTGCCTTTGAGTTTTCCTCTATACGATTTTTAATGATTTTTGAGATAAACTTAATAATAAAAAAAATAATGTTAATAATAATATCAAAAGACATGCATTAATTTCACATTTCAAAGAATATTTACCTCATCACACCAAGGATCTTTTTTAAAGAACATTTTAAAATAAGGAAAAGTATGACATTTGACCCTTCTTTTCATTTCTTCAAGTATTTTAATCGGTAACGGATGACTTCCTTTCTCAATCATGTTAAATGATCCTCCAAAAGCCGTCTCACCAATTATATCTAAAGTACAAAATTGTATCAATTGATAAAGGTTTATCGATTGTAAACTATCTTCGTTTAATTGATTAGGAGTTGAGCTTAATAACGAGTGTGAGGATTTAGGTGAAGGTTTTGAGAGTGTGTTGATTTTTTTAATTAACGATTTTACACAGGATTGAATTAGTGGCTCGAGTGATGCTACGTATTTTATAGAGAAAGCTGGTGACAAAATGCGTTTCTATAAATGTTAAAATGGTTTAATTTTCAATTATTATAGCATATACTGTAATGGAGTTTAACGTTATTTAAAAAAGATGCATACGCGTTGTCTGTGGAATGTCTTATCACTAGATAACAATTGTTACACGATAATAAAAAGTATAGAAATAAAGAACATTAAAAAAAAAATTATATTGCGCATGACGGACAGTTTTTTTTTTGTAAAAACATACGTGGCAGAAAATAAAGTTGGTAAATTGTAATGAGCTCGTATTCCTGCAATAGTTGGAGTCTTTGGCATATCCTAACAAAATATTATTATCATTATTAGTTATTAATTAAATGCGCATGCTTTTTTACATTTCCAATTAATAAGATGGAATAAGATAGCTTTAGAACTTACACTGTCTTTCAAGATAAATTTTATAGCTTCTAAGTCATCAAATAAGATAAATTTGGGACCAACCCTAACAAGATTACCATATTTTAAATGCAATGAATAGAACCATTCAAATACACGACCTTCTGGCCTTTTCAAGGATACCAAGATTTCAGTGAGCGAAGAAAATAATGGACCAGGAATTTTTGAAAGTGGCGAGATATACATATGATAAATTACATAATAAAATATTTTTGCTACAATTATTGCGAAAATGATAAGGAAAAAAGCAGGCAAAAAGTTGACAATAGTGTCATCGTGAATGAAGGATTCAAAAGCAAAGAAGGGTGTCAAAAAGAGATGGTTAGAAACAAAATAAAAATTATTTAGAACTAGTCTATGCATATTGGAGGTTTGAGCAAGTTAAGTTGTTAATTGTCAAAGAAATAATTATCTTTTTAACACGAAAAAAATTTAATATGAAATAAGATCTTTATATAATAAATTTCTCCGGTTTAAATTGCAGGCTCTTATAACTTTACTTAATAGAACTGCATTGATTAATCTATACGTATACGTAAATATCATTAGTACAAACTTTTCGCAAAAATAGTTAAAAAATTTGTGATAATTTTCAGGAATATACATCACAAATATGTATGCCTTGACTTTTCATCGAACGACATACTACGCACATGATATCACAATTAGCACTAACTCATCCAAATTTGTAACATATTAGCTGCATCCAAATTCATGCCCGCCACATTATTTTAAGGTCTAAAAAAATGGCTTTTTATAGCTTCCATAGATTTTAATACGTTTTAAAATAAGTCAATTCATTTGGCTATAGTCATTTAAAGTCTAAACTTTCTTATTTAATTTAGTAGGCGTTCAAATGATTAGATACTTTTTTATATTTGGCAATAATATGTAAGTCTAAAAATAACTATAAACGCACAGTCAAAAAAAATAATATGAAGTATATATGCGCTCGTGGCTATAAAAAATGCATTTTTTTTTCTAACAAGTTTTGCACCAGTTTCTAAGTTATACTGTTATTGAAGGTCTTTAAGTTAAATATTTAAACAAATGAACGCTTAATCATGCTAATTAATAATTGGAAGGAATAAATAAGTTCATAGAGGTCTAATATTGCCAAGTAGATTAAATTTGAAGCCTCGTCTAAGCCTATTCATAGACTTAAACTAATCAATATTAAGTGTAACAAGCAAAATCATGTGATAAAATGCGTGCACAGCATTAGCAAAACTGCAACTTTTACACGCTGAAGCCTTAACTATCATTCATTTAAATTTTAGATTTATCCCTAATATATTTTAATAGCGTCTTTACACTTTACGTTTATATTTATAATCAATAAAATTAATGTAACTTTTAATATAGCAAGTGTTTAGTTTCATGATTTATATAAGATATAAATGTCTGGTCTTCTAAGTTCATTTAATAGGCTTATTTGATATTGGTACTAAATTTCGGTTTATTTCTGGTTGGTATTACTGTATTACTCAATATAAGATTTCAAATTATAAACTTTAGAAATGCCAATCGCAAATTTCATATATTTTTTATTAGCGTTTTTAGCATAGTTAAGTCGTGGCGCGTGTTGTATATGTTTCTTTTATTAAAGTGATGATTTTTTTAGAGGTGATCTAATATGTGATATGAATTATGCTTATCTATCAATGAATTGTCACCCTCTTACAACCATTATTTCCAAAATAATTCATCTCGGCCGAAGTTTATGCCACCTTGATTTTTTTAGAAAATGCGAAATAATACTACTGTATCAATACACAATGTACTATCTAAGTACGTACGTACATATATAATGCGTTGCAGTACTATGTTTCAGCTGTAAACCATTTTAAATCGAGTAATAAGCAAGTTTATTATTTTACCCGGCTGTATCATTTACATTCTGCACTCTTGTGAAAGAGAGTTTATAATATATTTGTGATGTTTTTTTCTATAAGATTATAATATTGTTTTTATTACTTGAAAAATTACCATGATATCTTTATACTTCATGCATGTACGTATATGAATATTATCTAAAATTATTTCCGGGTATTAAATAAGAGGTTTGTGTAACGAATTTACGTTAAAGAAAATTACATGTCGTTCCGTGTAACATCATATGTACCTGATATAGTACGTCGTACGTACTAAATTTAAATATGTTTATTTTTGTATTTCGTTACCGAATTCAAAAACTAGTAAATTAAGTAATTTAAATTTAAATTTTTTAGACGCGCCTGGACTTAGAAAATTTCTCCACTATATTAAATTCTGTAAATATTCTTACATCTAATCAAAATGACTGACAAATCCATTGAATTTATATATTGATAAGAAATATTTAACACGCTCTTAATTCTTTTTAGAAAAATTTCTAATAATATAAACTTAAAATCGTTTGAAATTTCTAATAACAGATACAGTATTTTCGGGGGAAATATAAATATCTTTGTACCTCGACAATTTACATAAAAGACTTATTTACGTATGAAATTCAACCTAGGTTTATAATCTTCTCGGCCGAATTACACATTACATATGTACATAAATATAGTAAAAACAAACAAATATCGCTAAATTTGTAAATTTTTGCTTAGTACTATTTTTGTGTTGTTGAGGTAATAGTGATGATTTATGATGTGAAAATAAAAAAGGTATATTATATGAAGATAAAATATTTCATAAGAACGAAGACTTTGCAAATGTTAAAAATAGTGATGCTTGAATATCGTGATATAATAAAGCAGCTCTCATTTATTCACGGATTATCTTATATCATGTGCTACACTTAAACGCATAAATAATGTATCTTGTTCGGCCGAATTAATCAAATTAGTCATTGAACACAAATGACTGTACTTCGGCCGAAATTTATTCACAATTGAATTAGGAAATCTTTCAGGAAATGAGAAGCCTGAAATTTGCCTTTCAAATAAATCTGTTTAATCGATTCATTTAAAATTTTAGCAGCTTTACGAGACAGCTCAGTACTTACATTACAAACCATGTTTCAATTAATAAATATTTATTATATTGGTTCTATGTATTGGAACTAATAATTTACTTATTGATCTTATAGCAGTTCTTTGTTCTTCTATTTGTGAATATATTTGACTACCAATAGTTAGATCTACTAAGGCTAGTGGACATTGTTTTTTATTCTTTCTTCTGAATTATGGTTTCTCTATTCTGATCTTGTGGTAGTTCTTGCTTTTCCACTTGTAAGCATATATGACTACTACTATTCTCTCTTTCAAGCAATGCTTTTAGAAATTATTTGGGCTTACTAAAATTGGTGGTTACTACTTGTCTTCTAAATTAAGGCTTTTTTTCCTCCAACTTGTAGTAGTCCTTGTTTCTCTATTTGTTAATACATTTAACTATTACTATTCTTCTTTCTAGATAATACTTCAATAATAGTTGGATTCAATTAGGTTGTGGTTATTTGTTTTAATTTTTTTTTCTAATCTTGTAGTATGCAAATTTATCTCTCATGTTGTATTAGTGTATTGTATTTAGTTGCTGCTTTTTACTGCTATTGGCAGCTGTTTTGTATTTAGAAGTTAGTTAGGTTAAAAACTAGCCAATTAGTTATTGCAAATAAACTTATTTGTAGTATAAATATATATTAAATTTAATTTTAATAACATAAATATTATATTAATCTAAATATTTGCATGCATATAAATTGATTATAATTGGGTATGTAGTAAAGATACATTATGATACAGATGCATTATTTTTGTTTTTTTGTTTTTTTTTTAAGCAATCCTGGTTTTATTCATGTGAGCTGTTATATAATTTATACATGAATGTACTAAATTCTTACAACTTGTTGCTCTAACTCAATAAAAACTCACCAGGCTAAACACCCAATATGACCTGCTATACCAACTATTTATCTCACTCGGGATTCAAATTTTACTTCGGATTTTTGATCATCAAAATGATGCCCCCTCAATCATTAACAGATTGTTGTATACTGTGTTAGGATCTCTTTTTTCCTTCTAATTCTTTCTTCTTCTCAAGGGGCATGAGACAAAAGGGGGGAATTTTTAAAAGAAATATATGAAAATGACCAGAAAAGGAAAAAACAGAAAAGAAAAAAGAAACACTGATTGCAAAAAAGAAAAAACATGAAAAAATTCAAAACCCTGAAGGTATTATTATAGCCTATGTGTGGCTGATAAAAATTATATAACAAATGCAACATTTGTATATCTCTACTGTAAAGCTTCACCTTAACTTTAAATTTACTTTCTAACCTTCTCACCAACTATGGATAGCTTTGTTGCCCATTGTAAAAGGCCCAGGAAACAAAATTTTTTTTTATATATTAGTCTATTTTGTTTTGTTTTTTTATTATATTATTATTAGTCTTATTTCATTTTTATTGTAAGTATGTGTGACTAAAAAAGTAGAAACTTCATACGTGAAGCAATTTGCTATAGGGCAATTTGCCACAAGGCAAATTACTATATGATATTTTGCTGTGAGAAAATTTATTTAAGCCAATATGGTTTTGAGTTATTGTTCTTTTATTTTAAACTTAGCAAAAATAAAATTTGAGAACCTATTAGTATAGCAGACCAGTATAAAAACAATTTATGTACACAGCAAAAGTTAGAAGTATATAAGACCTAACTTTTTGATGAAATAAAATTTAACTCATATGAGTTCTATACTTCAAAAGTTATAATAGTAGAAGTTAGTCCTCTAAATAAATATTTTCTTAAACGCTAAAAATATACAAAATAAATCATTTATAATAAAAGTATTTTCCATTTCTCATAGCTTAAAAAGATAAAACAGATTTATCGTAACTTCTTGTCCCTGTGATACCTTAATTAGGGAGATATTGAAATAAATTAGAGAAAGAGATTGTTAATTAATAATCAAAATCTACTTAAATACTAAAATTAAATCAAGCTTTTGATCAAATTCCATCATTGATGCAAAATTATTGTTGTTTGCCTATTATGTTAAATAATTGAAATTATCAAAAATCAAACTTTATTAACACATAACCATGTAACCATCATTAAAGCCCTAGCAATTGAGAATTAATACCAGAGCTCTATTATATAAAATATCAAAGAAAGAACTTTTTTGACTACTTATTGTTGTCTGTGACCATATCTTTATCACTACAAGATCTAAAACTTTGGAATTCTTAGACCAAGTCT